TGCTATCCTACTGTCTGGGCACACTGCATACCTACACTGTCTCAGGTACACTGTATACCTACTGTCTAGGCACACTGTGTCTAGGCACACTGCTTCCACTGTCTAGGTACACTGTGCATACCACACTGTCTTAGTACCTGTCACTGTCTAGGTACACTGTTACCACACTGTCTACACTTCATATACCTACACTGTCTAGGTCACACTGTATACCTACACTGTCTGCAGTACACTGTATACCTACACTGTCTGTCACACTGCCTACACTGTCTAGTACACTGTATGCCTATCCTACACTGTCTAGGCACACTGTATACCTACACTGTCTGCACACCATACCCACACTGTCTAGGTACACACCGCACACCTCTGGGTACACTGTACACACTGTCTAGGCACACTGTATACCTCACTGTCTGGGCACACTGTCTCACTGTCTGTGCATACATGTCTGGGTACTGTATACCTGTCTGGGCACTGTCATACCCACACTGTCTGGGCACACTGCATACTACACTGTCACACTGATACCACACGTCTGGCACACTGTATACCCCACTGTCAGTACACTGCTATACCCACTGTCTGGGTACACTGTATACCCACACTGTCTGGGCACACTGTATACCCACACTGTCTGGGCACACTGTATACCCACACCGTCCAGGTACACTGTATACCCACACTGTCTGGGCACACTGTATACCCACACTGTCTGGGCACACTGCATACCCACACTGTCTGGGCACACTGTATACCCACACTGTCTGGGGCAAACTGTATACCCACACTGTCTAGGCACACTGTATACCCACACTGCTCAGGCACACTGCATACCCACACTGCTCCAGGCACACTGTATACCCACACTGTCTAGGCACACTGTATACCTACACCGTCCAGGCACACTGTATACCACACTGTCAAGGCACACTGTATACCCACACTGTCTAGGTACACTGTATACCCACACTGTCTAGGACACACTGTATACCCACACTGTCTAGGTACACTGTACTACACTGTCTAGGCACACTGTATACCCACACTGTCTAAGCACACTGTATACCCACACTGTTCAGGCACACTGTATACCCACACCGTCCAGGCACACTGTATACCCACACTGCCCAGGCACACCGTATACCCACACTGGTTCAGGCACACCGTATACCACACCGTCTAGGCACACTGTATACCTAACCGTCCAGGCACACTGCATACCCACACCGTCCAGGCACACTGTATACCCACACTGTCTAGGTACACTGTATACCTACACTGTCTAGGTACACTGTATACCTACACTGTCTAGGTACACTGTATACCTACACTGTCTAGGTACACTGTATACCTACACTGTCTAGGTACACTGTATACCTACACTGTCTAGGTACACTGTATACCTACACTGTCTAGGTACACTGTATACCTACACTGTCTAGGTACACTGTATACCTACACTGTCTAGGTACACTGTATACCTACACTGTCTAGGTACACTGTATACCTACACTGTCTATATATCGGGGTTCACAAGTACAAACAATTACGTCATCAACATCTCTGTTTGCTGCTGACGTCATCAACACCTGCTGACGTCATCAACACCTCACACTACACACCTGTATATTAATTAATTTTACCAGTCCAGTTCACACCGGGGAAATTAATTATGATTTTATACATTAATACGTATGATAATTAATCCCCTTAGCTATTAAAACAAGTATTTATTCATATTTATTATAATCATCCTTTTAAGTTAATGAAAGTAAGTGGATTTAATAGGTAAATTATATAAAAATGAAAGTTAATTGGGGGTATTTACCTGTTGTATGTAATTATGGGAGCTCTAAGGTCGAGGTGCGCCTCCTCTCACTTGTGGTTAGTGACTGTCAGTCGGGCAGTTGTCGACACACGCCGCTCCACCTTGGCCCCGCCCACAACCTTGCGTTCGATTCACTTAACCCTGACTTAACTTTAATTAAAATATCTCAACACCTCCAATTTTTATCCAAATTATCTATAACAATTAAATAGATATTTATAACCTAATTAATTAATATAATCCATAAAAATATCCCGATTTTAAATAGATATTGAAGTTTATTTATTTATTTATTTTCCGGATGAGGATTCGAACAAGTCATAAAAGCAACACGGTTAGAATGGCCTTTACAATCACTATTTACCTAATCTTTGAGATAAATACTTCCTCTGATGGCGTCACGACTCTCTAACCCCTCCCATAAATTAAATAGAAGAAAATAATTACTATTTTATGCTAGTTTAGGCTATTTATGGGGGCTAGTGACGTGTTAAAGAGGTCCAATGCTTGCTGACGTGTTCACAGCCTTTGGGTATCAGCTGATCACTTGACGCCTCACACCCCCCACCTACATCCTCTTCCCTCCCTCTCTCTCTCATCTTCCTTCCTCCCTCCCTGCGTCACTCTCTCCCTCATCTTCCTCCCTTCTTTCAGGACGTTTCTATCCCCCTCAACCTAACCTAATTTACAGTATGCTATATCCACACTGCCTGTAAGGAATACTTTCACTTCCCACGGCATTTTGTAATAGTGTGTTCAATCACTGTTTACATCTAAGGTCCAAATTCTCGTGGGTTTTAAAAAATAGTTTAATAAGATGACATTTTTACTTCCCACGAGATTATGTTTTAAAATTCAATCATTGTTTACATCTGAGGTCCAAATTCTCGTGGGTTTTAAAAAATGGTTTAATAAGATGACATTTTTACTTCCCACGAGATTATGTTTTAAAATTCAATCATTGTTTACATCTGAGGTCCAAATTCTCGTGGGTTTTAAAATAGGTTGGACAGGAGGCGCCATATTTATTAACCAATAAAGTTCTTCAAGTTTTAAGAGATTCAGATTATTTTTTTTTAATTTTTGGTTTAACCTGAAGATTAGCCTCCCAGGGTTAATTTACTTGATTAAATACCTAACTTAATCTAACCTAACACGAACCTAACTTAACTTAATCTAACCTAACACGAACCTAACTTAACTTAATCTAACCTAACACGAACCTAACCTAACACGAACCTAACTTAACTTAATCTAACCTAACACGAACCTAACTTAACTTAATCTAACCTAACACGAACCTAACTTAACTTAATCTAACCTAACACGAACCCAACCTAATCAATCTAACCTAAAGTACCTAACTCCAACCTAACTTAATCTAACCCAACACGAACCCAACTTAACTTAATTCCAACAATTTTAAACCCAACTCCAATCTAACCTGTAATGTAATTTAAACCTAACTTAAATTCTAATCTAACCCAACACGAACCCAACTTCTAACTTAATCTAACCTAACACGAACCTAACTTAAACTTAATCTAACCTAACACGGAACCTCCAACTTCTAACTTAATCTAACTCAACACGAACCCAGTCCAACTTTGAACTAACCCTAGCACGAACCTAACCTAACTTAATCTAACTCTAATACGAACCTAACTTAACTTAATCTAACCTAAAGCACTTGAACCCCTAACTTAACTTAATCTAACCAACACGAACCTAACTTAACTTAATCTAACCTAACACGAACTCAACTTAACTTCTAATCTAACCTAACACGAACCTAACTTAACTTAATCTAACCTAACACGAACCTAACTTAACTTAATCTAACCTAACACGAACCTAACTTAACTTAATCTAACCTAACACAAACCTAACTTAACTTAATCTAACCTAGCACGAACCTAACCTAACTTAATCTAACCTAACACGAACCTAACTTAACTTAATCTAACCTAACACGAACCTAACTTAACTTAATCTAACCTAGCACGAACCTAACTTAACTTAATCTAACCTTAACTAACACTAACCTAACCTAACCTAACCTAATCTAACCTTAACATAACACTAACCTAACCTAACCCTATGGGGGTGTCTAATCTTCAGGTGAAACAAGGGGGGGTGTCTAATCTTCACATGATCTTAAACCAGTAATCCCACAGGTCAAAAATAAATCCCATAAAGCCTAAACAAACAAATAAGTAAACAAACAACCAAGTAAACAACTCAAACAATCAAGTAAACAATGACACGCAATTTATGTCATCGATCGTCTTTTGTTACTCCAGGAAGTGACGTCATTTGAAGAGCGCCTGTGATTGGTGGGGATTATACGCCTCTCACCTGTGATTGGTGGGGATTATACGCCTCTCACCTGTGATTATAGTGATTATATCAATGACACCTGGAATTACTGTGTGTGTGTGTGTGTGTGTGTGTGTGTGTGGGTGTGTCTGTCTGTGTGTGTGTGTGTGTGTGTGTGTGTGTGTGTGTGGGGTGGGGTGTGGGGGTGTGTGTGTGGGGTGTGTGTGGGGTGTGTGTGGGGTGTGTGTGTGTGTTCTGTGTGGGTGTGTGTGGGGTGGGGTGTGTGTGTGTGTGTGTGTGGGGTGTGTGGGGGTGTGGGGTGTGTGGGGTGTGTGTGTGGGGTGTGTGTGTGTGTGTGTGTGGGTGTGTGGTGTGTGTGGGGTGTACCTGTGTGTGTCTGTGTGTGTGTGTGTGTGTGTTGTTGCTGCAGTAGTGATGAATGGACTTGGTGTTTGAATAGAGTACATGTTTAACCCCTTGAGTACCATTTTAACCCCCTAAGTACTATTTAATCCTCCTTGAGTACTAATTTAACCCTTTAAGTATGATCATTTAACACTAAATAATATTAATCTTTCCTTATTCACTAAAACAAAATAAGGAAAAAATGACAAAAATTCTAATATCAGGAAAACTAACCAAGATTTTTTCCCTTAGATTTTTTTAATATCTAGGATGAACTAAGATATCATTAACACCTAACTTAACTTAACCTAATCTAAATTAACCTTAAAATATTAACTTTGGGGAATTTTGTTAATTTTTTTCCCCTTGTTATGTTGGTTTTTGTCATAGAGGAACAAGGAAAGAAATGATTTTATTCAGAGTAATTCAGTTCTGTCTATATCTTGGTTAGGTTAAGGTGTGGTTAAGTTACATTAGAGTTAATTAACATTTCTGAGTCATTATTAACTCTAGTATGTATGTTAATTAGCACAGTAATTAATATATGCAAATTATATTCACAGGTGGAAAAGACTGATTTTATTTGGTGGAAAAAGACTGGATTAATATAGTGAAAATAGAGGCATAAAGAATGAATAAAATAGTGAATAATAAAGAGAAGATAATGAATTGAACAAGACAAAAAGTTCACAAATTGCTGTTCATTGTTCAGTATAAATTGTAATTTGTTCACAATGTCCAAACGCCTCCATTCTGGTTTCCTGACGATTTCCATAATAATTCCTTTGTGTGTGTTTAATTTATTTATATCTGCTGGTATATATAATAAAACTCCCATTATGGTAGAGAAACATGGTAGAGGGGGTATGGTAAATGAGTGTTCAATGGGAAGTGGTAGTAATGGTAGGCCTATGGAAATGGCTATGAGTAAGGTTGCTCCTGACGGGTGTACAATGGAAGTACCTCTAGTTATGGTAGTATGTGATGGAAAGGGGGTTAATGGTAGTGATGGTAGGCCTATGGAACTGGCTCTGAGTGGGGTAGGGTCCGAGATGCTACGTGGGTCATGGGAGAGGCAGGCAGAACAAGTGACTACCTTACTTAAGACACTGTTGTACTTCAGTAGCTGTTCCCACTGGAGGGTTATAGTGTTGACAGATACGTTCGATACCTACCTGAAGGTGGTCAAGATCATGGATGCCTTCCCTAGCAGGCACAGAAGGCGACTACTGCTGCAGTATAGGGACGTCTGGCTTCCAAGCGGATATGGGAATTTGAAGGATCATTGGAGAACGTGTGTGTGGGCCAAACAGTTCCTGGCTGAAGCGCTACCCCAGGAGGACGCTGTGGTGTATGTGGATACTGATCTGGTGTTCCTAGGACCTGCAGAACAGCTGTCGTGGCTCTTGAGATCCATGGATGACCAGCAGGTGGTGGCTCTGGCCCCCGAGCCACAGTATCTGGTCGAGGAACCCAAATATCCATCGGCGGGTCGGGTCGGACTCAACACCGGAGTAATGGCCGTCAACCTGACCCGGCTGAGACGGTTACCCGGAGGTGGTCTAGGCAGCGCCATCCTGAAGGAGGGATCGTTCGTTCCCGCCCCTCGGCACGACCAAGACGCCGTCAACCACTACCTGGCCAACAAACCTCACCTACTACAGGAGGTCACCGCCCGCTGGAACTTCCTCCCTTCATCTTGCTTCACGGAGGCACCACCCTGCCCTGACTGTGTCTCTGAAGGCATCCTCCTCCTGCACGGTGCTGACGCTACCTTCTTCAGACACGTAGACAGAAAATATTTGGTAGGTACAAGGGAGGTTTTGTCCAATGGAGTTTTGTCCAATGGGGTTCTGTCCAATGAAGTTTTGTCCAATGGAAGTTTTCTCAAATGGAGTTTTATGTATCATTTTATGTCCTAAATACATGTATACACTGACCCACATATACCTCATCTCTACACACTTATGTATACATGTATGACTGACCATTCTATACAACTTCTATGTAATACTGTGCTTAATAAAGATATACACACTATGTATATACACTTCTATATGTATACAATGAATTCTACAGCATTGTTTACTATGTATATATTAAGTTGTGTATAATATGAATACCTTATGTAGTCTAATACAATAAAATACAACATTATACAAGTTAATACAACTTTCACAACCTTTCAAAAAACCCATACAATATTTTTACAACCCTACACAACCTAACCTAACCTTACACAACCTTTCACAATATCAACTAACACAAATCGATCTATTTTTTCCAGGTAATATACTCCCTACTAGCAAGCTTACAGCTACTAGATGACCCTCGATCTCTACTAGCCAAGGCCGTGGCTAGTTTGGCTAGTACAGATGCATGGTATGATTATCCCTGTAGTAATTATACCAATATCAACCATGCTCTTACTCTTGGGATGATAAATGCAACCAAATTATACCATTAACTAGATTGTGAGTTAGTTAGGTTAGGTTAGCCATTTAGTCTGTGTGTAATAAAAATATGTACTAAACATTATTTTAATTACCTTGTAAAGAATTGTGTTTTGAGAGAGAGAGAGAGAGAATGTGTATGCTTATAGTGTGTGTACAGTATGTGCGTGCAAGTGTGTGTACTTATGTGTGTGGAGAGAAAGAGTGTATGTATCAGAGCCTGTGTATATGGTCAGCATGCTCGACTCCCAAGCAAGTGGACCAGGGTTCGATCCCCGGGCAGGGTGAAACTATGGGTAAGTTTCTTTACGCCATTTGCCTCTGTCTACCCAGCAGTAATTGGGGACCTGGATGTTAATGGATTTGTGGATCGTGTTCCGGGGTAATGGTTAGCCAGTGCAGTTGGCGAGTTGTCCGGTCTTCTCGGACTATTCCTTGACACTGGGTCATGCAGCTCGTTAACTCAGGGTGTGGTTGTTGTGTTGGTGACAGCTTCTACACCTTAAACACTGGGTCATACAGCTCATTAACTTAGGGTGTGGTTGTTGTGTTGGTGACAGCTTCTACACCTTAAACACTGGGTCATGCAGCTCGTTAACTTAGGGTGTGGTTGTTGTGTTGGTGACAGCTTCTGCACCTTAAACACTGGGTCATGCAACTCATGAAACATTAGCTACAAAACTTAAAATTATCTCATTTCTAAATAAACTACAGAATTTTATAGATACAATTACTGTATATATGTCTAAATAAACTAAATACAGTACTACTCTTTCTAAATAAACTACAGAATTTTATAGAACTACAATTACTGTATTTCACCCTACATAAAGTACAGTAGGTTTTATCTGTAATTAATATAAGAAATTGTTATTTAAGGCAGGTAGATATAGAGGTAAAAGCAGAGATGTCCCCCACCCTCTCCCTTGCCTGCTAACCTGCTCACACCTTAAGCAGGGATGGATTCACCTCAAGATAAAAGCAGGGATGTCCTCTCTCTCCTGCCTGCTAACCTGCTTACCATCACAAGCAGAAACACACCTTCAAAAAGACACAATTTCCACAGGGTAGGAACTTCTATTACTAGGCCAAGTCGCAATACTCGTAAGTAACTGTTCACTACCAATCTACTTAAAAGAAAAGTAGCAATTCTTTCATAGGGTTGGAACAGCTAGTATGGCCAAGTAGCAATTCTCCGAGGTAATTGAAGCTAGTACTTGCCATCTTGAATGAAAAAGTAGCAATTTTTTCATAAGGTAGGAACAGCAATCAAGGCAAAGTCGCAACTCTGAGATAATCAAACTCTAATCGTCTAAATGAAAACAAAAAGTAGCAATTCTTTTATAGGGTAGGAACAGCAATCAAGGCAAAGTCGCAATCCATGTGATAATCAAACGTTACCTGGCTACGTAAAGAAAAACAAAAGTATTAAAATTTTCTCTTTATTCAGAGTAAATAAACCCCTATACAATTAAATAAAATCCACGAGCAAGATATTTCTGTATTTTACAATGACCGACTGACTGACTAACATACAGACATACATATCCCTTAAGATGATAAACACAGCAAACCAAAACGTCGCTAAAACATGTCGTCGAAGCTGAGATCCGATTCGTCGTCGCTTATTTCGTTCCAGACGTCTAATTCGTCGTCGTCGTCGGGTTGATTTAACGAGGTGGTTTCGGCGTCTCTTCCGCTGCTCCGTTTCCTCAGGTAGGCCAATTCTCTCTCTTCTAGACCATCTTCGTCGGATTCGAGGTCGTCTTCAAGGTTATCATTCTTCTTCTTCATTTTCTTCCCTCCTCTCTTCTTAGGCTCCTCCTCCTCCTCCTCCTCCTCAATTTCCTCGATCATTTTCCTCTTCCCCAATCCTCTGACCGCCTCGTTCGCCTCATCGTCGTCGTTGCCTCCGCTAACGATGGATTCCTGGGAAGGGTGACAAGAGGTGGTGACAGACGGAACGATACTCCAGGGATGAAAGTGAGAGAAAGTGAGAGAGAAAGTGAGTAAGAGTGAAAGTGATAGCAAAAGTGACTAAATTCGTGTAATATAAAAACAAGAATAAAAGTATCAATAAAATTCGTGTTAAGTAAAAATAAGTGAAAGTATCAGTAAAAATTCGTGTAAAGCAAGAAAGTCAATCAAGAGAAAGTGGATTCGAGAGGCAACGTGACAACCCACGGAACACGCACCAGTCTGTCCAAGGTGGCACTGTACTCGACCAACCTCCCTTTACCAAACTGCATAAGAAGGCCCCTATTTACACCTAGGTAGAGGAGGTGTAGGGGGGGGGTGTTAAGTTTGTTTAGGGTGATCACAATGTCCAGCTTCTCCCTTTGCTCCCCCTTAGTCTAAATTGTTTCCCCCTTTGGTCGTTCCTTTATTGAAGTTTAGGTTCTGAATGTTTAATATAATACTATTACTACTAAAACTACTACTACTGTTAGGTTAGGAATGTTACTAATACTACTAAAACTACTACTACTACTACTAAAACTACTACTACTACTACTAAAACTACTACTACTACTACTACTACTACTACCACAACATGACCACCACCACCACTAACCTCTTTGTTCGGAGCCTTCTCGTCCGGCGGGATTCTTTTCAGCGTTCTCTTGCTAATACCCAAAACGCCCACACTGCCGTCGGGGTACACAGTTACCACCTTCTTAGGGCGGGTACTGATGATGCCAGATACTGTCCGCTTGACTATGTTGACAGTCTTAGGGGGTAAGAATGTCACGTTCTTCACGGAGTCTGAGGTAACGGGAGCAAACAAAAAAAACGTTAAAGTAGTTTTTTTTCGGAGAGTTGTATGGGGTGTGGGTGGGTGGGTGGGTGTGGGTGGGGTGGATCTGTCCGACATGTTCTGAAAGTTATTGATATGTTTCCGAAAGTTTTTAAAAGTTGTACCAGACGTTTAGAAATAATTTGACACGTTCTGAAAGTTATTAAAAATATTCTGAAAGTTTTTAAATGTTATATCAGACATTTAGAAATAATTTGACACATTTTGAAAGTTATTAAAAATATTCTGAAAGTTTTTAAATGTTATATCAGATGTTTAGAAATAATTTGACACATTTTGAAAGTTATTAAAAATATTCTGAAAGTTTTTTAATGTTATATCAGATGTTTAGAAATAATTTGACACATTCTGAAAGTTATTAAAAATTTTGTGAAAGTTGTGAAGGCTATAAAAGTTCACTGCAACACATCTGGTTATTCTGAAAGTTAACCTCAAGCTAAAATAGAGCTAAACCTCTATTTAATAAACTATATAGAGAAAAGTCCATTATATCGAGGGTTCGTTAGATGTAAAACCTTCGATTTAATGAACTATATAGAGAGGAAAGTCCATTATATCGAGGGTCCGTTAGATGTGAAACCTCGATTTAATGAACTATATAGAGAAAAGTCCATTACATCGAGGGTCCATTAGATGTGAAACCTTGATTTAACGAACTATATGGAAATGAAAGTCCATTATATCGAGGGTCCGTTAGATGTAAAACCTCTATTTAATGAACTATATAGAGATGAAAGTCCATTATATCGAGGGTCCGTTAAATGTGAAACCTCGACTTAACGAACTATATAGAGATGAAAGTCCATTATATCGAGGGTCCGTTAAATGTGAAACCTCGACTTAACGAACTATATAGAGATGAAAGTCCATTATATCGAGGGTCCGTTAGATGTAAAACCCCCATATAGCGTTATATCGAGGTTTCGCTATAAACTTCAATTAACCCCCACAGCTAAGACCCATCCCTAGGGGTTAGCGTACAATCCCCAAGTGAACCCCCATAGTAGTCACCCATTCCGACACACTTACTTATTCTGGCAAAGAACGGGATGGACGCAGACTTCCCGAGCTTTAGGCCGATGTTTTGCACGTTCTTCCAGCCTCCGGGAATGCGATTGGCCAATTTCACGGCGGCCGCTTTCACGTTGTCTGCGATCTGCTCGTCTGTCTGGCTTAGTCGGCCGACCTGTGGGGGGGAATTATTGTTGAGAGAGAGAGAGAGAGAGAGAGAGAGATGAGAGAGAGAGATGAGAGAGAGAGAGACAAAGAGAGAGAGAGACAAGAGAGAGAGAGAGAGAGATGAGAGAGAGAGAGAGAGAGAGAGAGGAAAAAATACAAAGCGACAGAAATAAGAAAAGAAAGAGTAAAAAAGACAGACAGACAGAGACAGAGAGAGAGAGAGAGACAACATACCTTCATCTGAGCACAGTTGCCCCTAAAGGTAAACTTGATCTGTGAGACGGATAACGCGCGAGTGATCTCTTTCTTCAGGTCGTCAGCCTTGAGGTTCACCTGTACTGGGGTCCTGGAACAACAACGAACATCAAAATAAACAAATAAATTCATCGTTATTCTTGATATACGTAAATAAATTGATTTCCTGTAAAATAAATAAATTGATATTATTGATAAAATTAAACAGACCTGGCAAAGTTAAACCTCTATTTAATGAACTATATAGTGAGGAAAGTCCATTATATCGAGGGTCCGTTAGATGAAAAACCTCTATTTAATGAACTATATAGTGAGGAAAGTCCATTATATCGAGGGTCCGTTAGATGAAAAACCTCTATCTAATGAACTATATAGTGAGGAAAGTCCATTATATCGAGGGTCTGTTAGATGTAAAACCTCTATTTAATGAACTATATAGTGAGGAAAGTCCATTATATCAAGGGTCCGTTAGATGTAAAACCTCTATTTAATGAACTATATACAGGAAAGTCCATTATATCAAGGTTTCATTGTTCACTTTAACTAACCCTAACTACAGATACCAAGATTAATAACAGTTTAAGATAAGTTAAAGTGTACAGCATCTTTAATTAAATCCCAAGGTCAATTAATCGCAATATAAATAAGAAAGTCATATATTTTCACTATCCTAAACATCAATTAAACTATCAAATTTTATATTAAATTCAACAGTCATTATTTCTCTGATATATTGAAGAAACTAAGAAATATTTTAATTCTCAAATATAAATTCGTTGTAAAATTCAAACTTTAAACTGTCATAAACATCGTAAATTGATCTAAAACACTAAAGTTAAAAATAAAACGCAGGAAAAACACCAAACTCTCATCTTGTTATTAAAATAGGAGTTTAAACTGTAATAAATGATTCTAAAACACGAAAGTTGAATTAAAACACCAATAAAAACACCAAACACATCTTTCTGTTATTAAAATAGGAGTTTAAACTGTCATAAATGATTCTAAAACACGAAAGTTGAATAAAAACACCAATTAAAACACCAAACACATCTTTCTGTTATTAAAATAGGAGTTTAAACTGTAATAAATGATTCTAAAACACGAAAGTTGAATAAAAACACCAATTAACACACCAAACTCACCTCTTCCGCTTGTAAAAATGTTTCCCCAGGAATTTGGGCACGAACCGCATCACAGAGTCGTCGCAGAGAATAACGTCGACGCGATTTGATAGGAGTCTCTTGGCTTCGAACTCCTTAAATTCGACCTTCAACTGTCTGAGCGGAAGAACCTGAAAAATATTCACCCAAGTTTATTTCATCTTAAACCTAACTTAACCCAACTTCTACTAATCCTAACTTAACCTAATCTAACCTAACTTGAAAAATATCCACGCCAGTTTATTTTACCTTAACATTAACCAACCTAATGCTTACCTAACCTAACTTAACCTAATGCTGACCTAACCTAACTTAACTCTAACCTATAAATCAATATATTGTGGTAATTCCATCCCAACGACAAAACAACTTAGGTCATATATCGCCCAATTAAAATTAAGCCTTAAAATACAAAAATAATGTAACGCAAAAAAAAATAAATGAGGCAGAACCTTCATAAAAAAAACATTTAAACGTCAATAGCTAAAAAAAAAACTCGAAGCTTGTGCAGGAGTCCGACGTCATCAAGAGTTATCGAACAGTCAATGGGTCCATGTAGCTATCATACTGGGGGGGTAGGGGTAGCCATCTTCTGCACCTACCTCATTAACGAGAGTATTCGCCTGGTGTTTTTGTAGCAGGCTGAGGTAGTGGTTTAGGGAGTCTTCGTGATCGACCTTAATGCCCTTCTCTAGGTCTCGGGTGATGAGGATGACCTCCGCTTCGTCCCCGTTGACGCTGTGAGGCAGATTTCTGTTTGGGGTGCAGGAGAGTTAGGTGGGATTTTTACTCCTTGACTCAAATAATAATCACACACACTTATACTTACATACTTAGATATACAGTACTTCTTCTAACACACCCAAACACACTTACATATGTACTTATACACACAAATGGTTAACATGCACTTACAGAAATTGCACAGGGATATCATAGCACCTTGTTCACTCACACTTAAACACACTCATACTTCACTCACACTTAGACACACTCATACTTCACTCACACTTAAACACACTCATACTTACACACTGATGGTCATGGGGTTAGCAAGACTTAGTTGATGAGTGTATTATAGCACCTTAGCATAGGGTGACTTACAGACACACTCACACACTTACTGACACACACTCACACACTTACAGACACACACACACACACACACACTTACAGACACACACACACACACTTACAGACACACTCACACACTTACAGACACACTCACACACTTACAGACACACTAACACACTGAAACACACTCATACTCACACACTGATTGTCAAAGGGTTAGCCAGGCGTAGTTGTTGGGAAAACTGTGGCAGTTTGCAGAGAGTAACTTGTAAATATATCATGGCATCCTGTTCGCCGGTGTCTTCGAGTAAATTCTTCTTTGTTTTGTTTTCCTTGGCCTTCGTAGCGAGCGTTCTGATCCCACCAATGGCCTGATTAACCTGTGAAAGTATGTAATGAGTTAGTATGGTGGTAATTAGCATGGCGGGGGGGGGAGGGTTAGGTTAGATAATGATATCCCAGGTTAATGTAATCTAATACTGGCTTAACCTAATCTAACCTAACCTATACACTAGCTTAAGATAATCTAACCTAACTTAATGTAATCTAAAACTTGCTTAACCTAACACTAACCTAACTTAGACTAACACTAACAAAACTAACTTAATCTGGGGTGTGGCTAATCTTTACGTGAGTCCCCCCCCCACACAAGTACAGAGAGGCAGAGAGAGTTGTAACATAATTAAATCGAGTCGCGAGAAAACGAGATAGAATAATAGACTTAAAGACAGACAGACAGACAGACAGACCCCATACTCACCACATCAAGATTAACGAGCTTGGTTACATCGCTGACAATCTCCCGCGGTCCCTCGTCGATCTTCCTCCTCCTGAATCTCTTCCTGTAGATCTTGTTATTCCACGTAGAAGAAGCACTGCTGTAGATCTTCCTGTAGTCCTTCAGATCCCGGCGTTTATTCGTTCCTTTAATCCCTACGAGTTCGCGGTCCCAATTCCTTTTCACCTTGGGGGTATATTTCAGAGGCATGGCATTGACAGAATTTACCTTCCAGTTTTTGTCTACATTACGATTCCATTTCTTTCTGTTTAGGCTGCTTATACCTCCTGGTCTGTGATTGGTGGATTTACCTCTCTCCCCGGATTCGAGTTTCCGCGTGTTTGTTTTTCCTAGTTTGTTCCTCCCCGTTTTGAGCGACGGCTTAGGTTTTCCGGCCTTTGTTTTTTTCCCCCGTCTGGCATTCGATTTCTGTTTATTATTTGGGTTCCCGGTGTTTGTTTTCTTCCCGTGTTTGGTAACCATCGTGTTCGTCTTCTGTTTATTATTTGGGTTCCCGGTGTTTGTTTTCTTCCCGTGTTTGGTAACCATCGCGTTCGTCTTCTGTCTACGACTCGGATTTCCCGTGTTTGTTTTCTTCCCGTGCTTGGGCTTTACAGGCTTACGTTTACCTTTCGCTTCCTGGGTACCGGACGGCCTTTTCTTGACTTGACTCGCCGCGTGCGTCTTCATCTTCTGCGACTTCCTCTTGTTGACGGAGAGATCGTTCTTCCCTGGGGTTTTCTTACTCTTGATACTAGCCATTGTTTCGGGTCCTGGAAAAGCACGATGAGTAGTTAATAGCAATCACGGGAAAATTAATAGACAATAAACAACAAATAACAATATTCGATGACTAAATAACTACATTAACGATTAAATAACAAAGAAATAAAAAAAAATATTCCCCCAAAAATTGACAAAAATGATAAAATTACAAAATACAAACAAATTAAAATTAATAATAGGGAAGGAGATGAAGATAATGTAAGAAACAAATAATAATTACAGTAAATACTTCAAAACAGCCGACTAATCCACCAATCTGCGACTAATCCACCAGCCACCACCCCAATCAATCCAATCTTTAAAACCGAGTCAATATAATACTCTATCAAGCTAACATTATGTTTAAAACGTAAAATAACTCGTAAAGGTAAATAACCTCTCGAAATTATATGTTAATTAATGTATCTAAGGTAAATAATCGTTAAAAATATAACATACTTTTGTCGAGTCGTCTACAATACCATGGTGCCAATTTAAGCCATTTCTTATGGGAGCAATTCTTCGCTCTAAGCGGTTTCGTTATGAGGCGGTCGTCCGGTCCTAATTACCCGCGGCTAACGACGACAAACTAGTATTTTCTGTTAAATATGGCGAGTAGGCAGGGCTAGAGTATTAGAGAAGGTTAGGTTAGGTTTCTTTGGTTAGGTTAGGTTATGTATCCAATATAACATCATACATAGGGTTTCCTATCATACTGTTATAACCAATTTAAATAGAACTAAATTTAATGAAGTTTTAAAGATTTATATAAAATTTTATCTTCATCTATAATTACAAAAATAATTTTGTAAATTTTGTAGGAACGTTCAGTGATATGTAATGCAGTTTTAAGCTTGTAGCTGAATATTTCCCAGTTCCAGCTTTTATGTAATCAGTAAAAGCTTGTGTGAATTAAACAGATCTGAAATTATTGTATTTTAAACATCGATCTTTTAAATAATTGTCGATTTTTGATTAGTGATTGGCAATTAAAAGTTAGACTTCTCGATTTATTGTAATATTCGACAAATGATATTTAAAGCTTTATTTCTCCTAAGCGGTCAAACTGTCATAAACTCCGTAAATGAATCAAAAGCAAAAGTTGAATTAAAACACCAAAAAAAAAACCACCAGACACGATTCTTCCTGTTATTAAAATAGGAACTCGAACTATACTGCCATGATGTCAGAAATTTGTCCCGTAAATTGGGTAATAGTTATCTTAGTAATTGGGTACGACTTGATAATGTTCTGATGGGTACAATTTGCTTGGGTATGATTTCTCCAGCACTGGGGTTCTGTTAGGTTAGGTTCTCTGCATTGTCGTATCATCTTAATTTGGCAGTGTATGTTTTGCCGTGACTAACGTTATTTTACCATGACTGCGCTCTGATTGGCTGATATTGAACTGCGAGTCGATCGTTGTGTAGATGTAAACTTTAACCTAACCTAACCGTATTTGTTATGCAGGGAAACTGGGTGCTGGACAACTTGTGCCCGATTCACGAGACATTTCGTACCCATATATGTAAATATACGAATACAGTACCGTATATTGCAGTGTATAAGTCGACCCTATTATTTTCAGGTTAACAGTATGAATTAGGGAGATGTATCTGGAAGGTAAAAAGGAATACAGGAGATTAAATAACCAGGTCAGATGGGAAACTAGAAACATCTTGAAATGTAAAGAACAAGATATTGTAAAAAATGTTAAGGTGAATCCAAACGGGTTGTGGAAGTAGGTACAGACAAGGACAAAAGCTAGAATTGTATATCTTTACAAGGATGAGGAAAAAGTACAGAAGACTGTGACTGATCAAGGCAGATGTACTCTCAGAGCAATTCTCACGAGTTTTTATCAAAGAACCAGATAGGGGGATACCAACAAGAGAGACGTGCCAGCTCTTCAGGGCAAAATAAAAAAGGTGATTAAAAAATTGAAAAGACAAAAGTCATCCAAGAGTCATCAAGGAGATCATGGAGGAACTACTTCAGCCTCTGAGGATCTTGTTTGAAAGCTCTTTTCAAGATGGAAATATACATGAGGAATGGCATATTGTATATATCACAGCTATCTATAAGGGAAGCAAAAGTGAACCAGGAAACTACAGGCCAGTCAGTCTAACTAGTGTGGTCTGCAAATTAATGGAGTCAATATTACGGGAAGAGATGATATCCCATATGAAAAAATATGGATTGTTTAGTAATAAACAGTTTGGCTTCATGTCCGGCAGGTCAACAGTCCTACAGTTGATTAGGGTACTAGACAGGTGGTCGGAAATTATTGATGACAGTCAGGCTGTGGACATAGTGTATTGTGACTTCATGAAGGCTTTTGATAGAGTACCCCACAAAAGACTATTAGAAAAAGTATCTAGTTATCACATTGATGAAAAATATCTTGATTGGGTAAGGAATTTTTTAACTAAGAGAAAACAGAAGGTTAATGGAAAATATCAGACTGGAGAGAGGTCACTAGTGGGGTCCCTCAGGGTTCTGTCCTCGGTCCCCTGCTGTTGGTCCTTTTTATTAACGACCTGCCCGAGGCAATTAAACAAGACAGTGAAGTATGTCTATATGCGGATGACAAAGATTTTTAGGAAAATAGAACGAGATGAGGATTGTGACATGCTGCAGGAGGACCTGGATGGGATCAGGGGTTGGACTGAGAAGTGGATGATGAACTTTCACCCAGAAAAACGTAAATACACGAGGATAGGAAGAAGTTGCTGACCAGGGATATCATATGAACACCACGATCAAGAAAGACCACCGTAGAGAAGGATATAGGGGTAGTCATCGATGATAAGCTGACGTTCTCTGACCATCTAGCCGAGAAAATCAACAAGGCTAATAAAATAGTGGGCATTATTAGAACTTTTGTTTATCTGGATGCACCTATATTCAAGGCTCTGTACACTGCTCAGGTTAGGCCACACCTTGAGTATGTTAATTTGGTGCCCATATCTCATTAAGGATATTGAAGCAGTAGAGAATGTACCAAATTACCTAGTACCACAGATCAAGGATTTATCTTATGAGGAAAGACTAAGGAAATTACAGTTACCGACACTGGCGTACAGAAGATCTCGTGGGGACCAAGTGGAAACATACAAGATACAGTTCCTCCCCGACTTACGACGGGGTTAGGGACCCAAATCCAGGTTGTAAGTCAAAAATGCTTAAATAATACATAAAAAGTCTAAAATGGTTGTCTCTTTTTCTTCTCAGCTCCACAAAACTCTCACTTTTAAGCTTGCCAGATATTTTAAAGTGAATTATAAACGAAAATTTTATCCTGTGTACTGACGGTGGGACTCGAAAATACGTAATTTGACAAAATTTTGGTACGACTGAGGAGGGTCGTAAGTGCGAGTGGTCGTAAGTCAGGGAGGAGACGTAGTGTGTGGCATATATGACCGGGGATATACAGTAGGAATGTTCACTACCCGGGGAACACAAAGATCTACAAAACAAGAGCGAGGCTAAATCTCAGAAGACATTCGTGCCCGAGTAGGGTTGTCAACAACTGGGTTACCCGAGTGGGTAGTCAACGTGGAGACGGCGAAAAATTTTGAAGCATAATTAGATAAATACTGGAAAAATCAAGAAAAGTATATAATTATAGGGCAGAAATATCCGCCACACGCAGCCACCATCCGAGTAGAGAAGAGGCTATTGAGCTGGCGTCACAGCCTCTTCCAGAAGATCATCTCAGAGTGTCTGTGAGTAATCTATTCTCGGCATATAAGTCCACAGCAGAACTTGCAAGCTACAAAGTGACTATTGGGATGTTTTGTGATACAGTACGCAACGTGGGAATTCGTTTTTGGATGACCACATATCCTATGAGTATCAGTTCAGTTTTAAACATAAGCTCGGACTTTGTTCCACAGCTTCAGTACCTATTGGCCCGTGTGAAATTCAGTAGCCACAATGAATACCGCTGACTATCTTCTGGCTATGGGATGTTAGACCGAGACAGGCGGCCTTTCTGTGCGACCAACGGAGATATCGAACCTTTGAAACACGAATAACATGTTTGGTATATCGTGATTTAACTCAAAGATCGAATAATAATAACTGGGTTCGCTCCGATTGACCCGACATTAACGTCTCTGGAATTATCAACGCAAATCATTCCAATTTCAGATATTCAACCGGCAGATACTGAAGCAATTAAAGCATCACCAGCTCGGGGTTTTAATGTGGTCGTGTCAATCAGTCTATAAAAGCCAAATTTTCCTACAAAATTTACATATTTGTTGTAATTATAGATGAAGGTAAAATATGATATAAAATCTTTAAAACTTGATTAAATTTAGTCCTATTAAATACAACCTAACCTAACCAAATAAACTAACCTAACCTAACCAAATAAACTAACCTAACCAAATAAACTAACCTAACCAAATAAACTAACCTAACCTAACCAAATAAACTAACCTAACCAACTAAAGAAACCTAACCTAACTAACCTAACCAACTAAAGAAACCTAACCTAACCCACTAAAGAAACCTAACCTAACCAAATAAACTAACCTAACCAACTAAAGAAACCTAACCAACTAAAGAAACCTAACCTAACCAACTAAAGAAACCTAACCTAACCAAATAAACTAACCTAACCCCCTAGTCATATTAAACCGGAAATAATCAGCCAATCACAGCACACTCACGGTAAAATAGCATCAATAGAAAAAAACTCAACCAATCACGGCTAAATATCCACAACGTATATACAATAGCGTTTATTAATACTCTAGAGGTTCAAGTAACGATTATAGGTCATTAACTACCTCGTTTGCTGCCATAATTGGATAAACACATAGTTAACAACCATTAGGGTTAGTATGTCTGATAGGGGTTTAATTAATACTCCTAACTACTCAACAAGGTCAATTAAGCCTTAAATCACCTTATATATCATTATTTAAGGTCATTTAATATATAATTAGTCTATATAAATATAATTAATATTATTATTTAAGTCACCAGAAACCGTCTCATATTTACGTTAAAATATCAGTTATTTAAGGTTATTATATGACTAACTTACCTCTAATATAACCTTGGGGAGTTAATACAGGTATATGGTGTCTTGAAGGGTCGTTAACGGGTGTAATTAGGTCGTTACAGGTGATAAATGGTGAGTTAAGAGGCAGCCATCAAGACCTGTCGACCACCACGTGTTGCTTGACTGGTTCGCTTCAGCCAGTTACTGAACCACCAACCCCTAATGACCAACACAGTGAACCACTAACCCAAACACCTGTATTTTATTACCCTCGCTTTAATATCCCTTAAATCATATTCATAAAACATTTAGAATTTTATAAGTAATATTTTAAAAATATTTAAAACTTTATAAATGCTTTAATTTATATTTATTTAAGCTTACAATTGATGCTTCGTGACTTTGGATTCGTTAGATAGTGAGTTCGAACCTTCTGAAGCCTCCTCAAGTGAACCCAAACATTACAGATTTACTAAAACACGAAAATATTTTTAGACAGATATAAAACTTTATTTATCACTAATACTTTTATATTGAGGGTAAAAATACCTTTATTTATATAATTAATTCACATTTATAAGCAAAAATTATATATGTGTAGTGAATATATACAAATAAAAACATTAAACCCAATATGTACGGGTATTTAAGTGGTATTATTTCTCTATTTATTAACCAAAAGTATAAATATTTACTATATAAATTTATAATATAGGAATAAGTAAGAAAATTATACCTAAATGTATATATAACGTTAATTGTAGTTTATTTATTGTTTAGTTGATTTAATTTGATTTCGCATTCCAGAGGCATTTAATATTTGTCTGCGGGGGTAAAATATTTTCATTCTAACTTCATCTAAATTTCGTACAACTTCATAAATACCAAGTTTAATTATTTTTTAATATTCATATTGATAAATTGATCATTATAGTTTATTTTTGAACTAGAAATATGTAAAGAAACTTGTGAAATATTAAATTACCAATAAAAATTAAATGTGACGGCACCTCTTTTAAGGTCGCTTAGAGTAACAATACTGAAAATAGAATACAGACAAAAATAAAATAAACAATAAAATATCCTCTAAAAACTTACAATAAATGATAAAATACAAATAATATCACATAATTGACCTATTTATCCCACTACTTGTATTTTAATTTAGATATTATTGAATATTTCCGACACTAATATATATATTTTTAGGAATGAATAAAAATTTTAAATATCTCACAACAAAACCACGAAACGAAACAGCTGATCTTATATTTAAATGGACAAAATCACCTTATTTATGATTGGAAAATGACTAATTCATGTAGTTTTGTTTATGATAATACCACTAACTTAATTTAAATAGATTAATTAAGCGGTGTTGATAATAATTAATATTAAATAAAGACAAAAATACGACCAAAAAAACCATGCCAGTACTCCAAGATTCTTCAGCTTCGGACACACCATTATCAAAACAGCATTACCAACTGTTCCGATTTAGTAAACAAACATGGCTGCCAACATGACATAAACACTCCATTATATCACAAAAAAAAAATATTAAAATATTACATAAAAATCCATCTAAAAATAATAAAATATAATTAAAATCACTAAAATAATTAATTATAAAATCATAGATAAGATAATAGACGAATAATTGCCTGAACTAATATACGCTAATTACCTCACTGATTGTTACACTGAAAGATAGATTATATTTTAAGTGTGTTCATTTGTCGTAGTTACTTACATCGAGAAAGTGAGAGAATGAATGAGAAAAAGAGAAGAATAAAGACAAAATGAGAGAGAGAGAGAAATAAAGATAGAATGACAGATTCAGATTTGCCCCCGAGGGAGCTAGTTTATTGGGCACCCCCTTACATCCTGTGCAAGGTGAAGCGTTTACAGCGCCCAACAGGGAAGTGTGCTGAGTTCATACTTGCCTTTATGACTCGTACATAAAGCCTGAAGGGTCATAGGTTCTGTCAAGTTACATAAAGTGAGAGAATGATGAGTGTGTGGGGGGAAAGTTGCCGGTACATTTCATCTGTTTATGGCAAAGAGTGGCAGGTCCCCAGTGCCAGGCCTGTGACTAGGAGGAGGGATATCTGGTCTGGGAGGGAAGAGGTGTTGGTAACGGCTGGGGACCTGTAGGAGGAGGTCATAGGGCAAGTGAGGATGTGGTGAGAGAGGGTGTGAGAGTCGGGTTGGCCACAAACAGTGCGGTGAGGCTCAGGGTTGCCAATGTACTAGGCGTGGCGAAGTACAGTGGGGGTGGAGGTGATATGGTGTGGTGGGGCAGGTATAGTAGGGGTGGAGGGAGGCACATAGGCATTGACAACATTGAGGGACACACCTTTTAGTGTGATTGTGATGGTGTGTTCGTCGACATGTCGGTGGGGTACAGGTAGCCGGGGGTGGTGTCCTCAGGTCCAGGTAGCCCTGGTGGAGACAGCTCAGACACGGGCGCGGCTTGCGGTGGGTGGTGGACAGGTTGAGGCACCAAGTGTTGTGAGGATGGGGCAGGACTTCGCTCGGGGGCAGCAGGACACACCAGGGCAGGCCCGGTAGGCACTACACCAGTAGTGAAGGCCGCCGGCGGTGGAGTAGGCCGTGAGCAGGGGGGACTCACAGGGGGACCAACAGCTTGTGTCAAACCAGCAGAGAGGAGTGACTGGGTGGCAGGAGTAGGTGGGAGATGGTGGTACAGAGTGTAGCCAAGAGTTGTTCAATACGGTTGGTAAATTCTTGGAAGAGGGATATGATCTGTGTCATGTCACTGGCGGGGGGTTGTGGGGGGGCACCGGTGGGAGCACAAGGCCTGGCAGCCTCAGAGTAGAGACGAGGAGGAGGCCCAGTAGTAGTTGAGTTAGGAGACGGCCGGGACTGCTGTGTTGTAGCCAGATGAGGCCAGGCAGAGGCAGGTGTTGTTGAAGAAGGCATTGCTGGAGACACAGGGTACACAGGGGGGTGTGGCCCGGAAGACTGGGGGGTGCGTTGTAGTAGACTTGGCCTTCGGGGAGGCTTTTCCCCTGGGACAGACGGGCGATTGGGGCATTGCCGTGAGTCAGCATTGTGCCGGCCGCCACAGTTACAACATCTGGGATTAATTACATAGCCCACCCCACCACTATTTAGGTGGTCTTTGATTTTCTGGGCACAGGCGGCGGAGTTGTGGTTACGTGAACAGAAGCGACATCTCGGCCGATCACGACGACAGCAGGCAGTGAAGTTGTGACCCCAATGAGAACAGACAACACAAAATGCAGGCTCAGGATGATAGGCTTCTGCATACAGTGGGGGTAAGAGTGGGTGGGCATTCACAGTGGTTGGGCACTCCCTTCCCTTCCACTTGACAATGACAGCGGGAAATGACAGACAGAATTCTTTTGACTGGGAGGACTATTGTGGTTGGGGAAGACTATCAAGGGTTGGGGAAGACTATCAACGGTTGGAGAAGACTATCAGGGGTTGGGGAAGACTATCAAGGGTTGGAGAAGACTATTAATGGTTGGGGAAGACTATCAAGGGTTGGGGAAGACTATCAAGGGTTGGGGAAGACTATTAAGGGTTGGGGAAGACTATCAAGGGTTGGGGAAGACTATCAAGGGTTGGGGAAGACTATTAAGGGTTGGGGAAGACTATTAAGGGTTGGGGAAGACTATCAAGGGTTGAAGACACTATGGTTAATGGTTGGAAGACTATTAATGGTTGGGGAAGACTATCAAGGGTTGGGGAAGACTATCAAGGGTTGGGGAAGACTATTAAGGGTTGGGGAAGACTATTAAGGGTTGGGGAAGACTATCATGTCCTGTTGGCCTGAGACACACCTGAGAAACGGCCGAGATGTCGCTTCTGTTCACGTAACCACAACCTGCCGCCTGTGCCCAGAAAATCAAAGACCACCTTAATAGTGGTGGGGTGTGGGCCATGTAATTAATCCCAGGTGTTGTAATTGCAGGCCGGGCACACGTTGACCACGGCAATGCCCCAATCGCCCGTCTGTCCCAGGGAAAGCCTCCCTGAAGGCCAAGTCTAACACAACGCCCCCCCTCCTCTAGGGAAGGTCTTCTTCCAGCCACACTCTGTGCCCCTGTGTCTCAAGTACCTTCTTCAACAACACCTGCCCCCTGCCTGGCCTCTATATCTACACAACACAGCAGTCCCGGCTGCCTCCTAACTCAACTACTACTGGGCCTCCCTCCTGTCTCTACACTGAGGCTGTCAGGCCTTGTGCTCCCACCGGCCCCCCCGCCAACCCCCCCACCAGTGACATGACACAGATCATATCCTCTTCCAAGAATCTACCAACCGTATTGAAAAACTCTTCTGCCACACTCTGTACCACACCACCTCCCCCACCTCCTGCCCCTCTGTTGCCACCCAGTCACCTCCTTCTGGCTCTGACACACAAGCTGTTGGTCCCCTGTGAGCCCCCTGCTTACGGTGGCCTTACCCACTGCCGGCGGTCTTCACTACTGGTGTGTAGCGCCTACTGGCCTGCCCTGGTGTGTCCTGTTGCCCTGAGCGAAGTCCTGCCCCATCCTCACAACACCTTGGTGCCCCAACCTGTCCTCCACTCACCGCAAGCTGCGCCTGCTCCTGTGTCTGAGCTGTCTCCACCAGAGCTACCTGGACCTGAGTGGACACCACCCCTGGCTACCTGCAGGCCCCACTGACATGTCGGACGACACCATCGCACACACTCTGCAGTCCTCAATGTTGTCACACGCCTATGCCCCCCACCCCTACCATGTCTCCCCACCACACCATATCACTTCCACCCCACTGCACTTCGCCACGCCTAGTACATTGGCATCCCTGAGCCTGGCCGCACTGTCGGTAAACTTTGTGGTCAACAGACTCAACACCCTTCACCACACATCCTCATTTGCCCTATGACCTCCCCCCCTCACAGGGGTGGCACCCTTCCCTCCTGACCAGATATCCTCCCTCCAGTCACAGGCCTGGCACTTGACATTATTAGGGGACCTGCCACACTTTGCCATAAACAGATAAATTGTACCGGGAATTCTTTCCCCACACACTCATCATTAATACTTTACGTAACTTGGCTGACACAAAACTCATGACTCCTTTCAGGCTTTTTTACGCCCTTAATGCATGAGTCATAAAGGCAAACATAAACTCGGCATGCTCCCAGTTGGGCACTGTAAACGCTTCGCACT